ACTATACCGTATAATGTGCAACACGTTATATATAGTAGAGTTCAGCAGTATATATCATACAGCACAGTGTCAAGTTCACAGGACAAGAGTGTGTGATGTACAGAACAGAGTATAAAGTGCAGCTGTCAGCAGCATGTACCATACAAAACAGCGTATATTTATAGAGGTGTGGATGTGACTGATCAGAAACAACAAAAATACCCCCCCCCCCGAGCGATTGGTAGTCCTTCCTTTTGCAAAGTATTATTAGTAAATGGTAGTAAAAATCCTGTGCTGTTATATCACTGGTGACTATAAAGTGGTTGCTATGCTTGACAGTGCCTGCATAGATTTGAAGCCAAGTGGTAGATGAATCTTTCTTTTGGTATGTCCAAGGGCAGTCCTGCAGGATCCATGACAATTGGGGCTTCTGGTGATAGGCTGAAGCAGGGTGCTAATCTGAGTGAGGTATTTGTGAACACAACCATAAACTCTACAGGCATGGGGATCTATATAACTGTAACCTCTCTGAGCTAGCATCTCTGTCCAGATAATAGATGTTGGCCCAGGGCCGATGCTGCCATCCTTCTAATGATAAAATTCATTGTCAGGAGGTAATATCTCCATGTTTTTCACTTACACATTACTTAGCATGCACGTACTTAACATGAACAAAATATATATGGACAGCAAGCATGTAAAATGTGAAAATCATATCAAAACTTACTTTAACCCCTTGGCGCCAACCATACGCAAATATGCGGCCCCACTGGACTGGGTTTTTTTTCCATGGGGCTCCAAATTTGTGTACTTGTCTTTGCGCTGGCAGAGTGCTGCATGGCATACTCCCAGCACAGAGTTTGGGGTTTCACTGAGAGCCCCAGGTCCCGTAGTAACTAACAGGACCCAGAACTCCAGATTCTGGGTCACCTGATCTCTCTGATAGTCTCTGATTGTGCATATATTGCAGCAAGTGCAGGCAAAATCATTTACATGTATATCATTTTGCCTGTTCGGGCTGAGGGGGGTGCCATGCATCCCCCCCCCCCCTCAGAACCACTGTAAACCCTGGATACTCAGTACTTGGGGACCAGTGATCATGTGATTGCTATGCAATCACATGATCACAATGTCAACAAAGCTGTTATGAATTAACTCATTCATAACAGCTGTGTTGACTATGCTGTGATTAGCTCACCACTATCACACAGTACCTGGGTCAATCACAGTACCCTGTACCATGTGATTAGCTGTAGCCAATCACAGATCATTAGTGATCACAGCGGTGATGAATGGTTAACTCATTCATGACAGTTGAAAACTTTGCTTATAATGATCCTACAATGAAAAAATCCCTGATCACCCTCTCCGAGTAGTACAGTGTTACTATGGTAACACTGAACTACTCTGATGAAAGTATGTAAAAACATAATAAAGAATGAAAATAAAATTATAAAAAAATGTAAAAAATGTTTAAAAATTGAATAATTTTTTTTTAAAATACTGTCACCAGTAAGTGTTCCTGATCACTGCTATATCCGTCAAATGATGATGCTGTACTGCACTGGTGACAAAATGTAAAAAAATTATTGTGAAACAATTTCTTAATTTTCCAAAAAAATTGTGCCCAAAAAAAATACAACTTAAAAATACTCACCTTACCTCTTATTAAATGCCTCAGACTGTCTAGGTTCCAAAAAGGGGTCATTTGGAGGGAATTTGTACTGTCCTGGCATTTTAGGACCACAAGAAATGAGATGAAATGAGGCCGTCAGTACATCATGATCAAATGTACTGTATATACCATAGTTTGTAGACACAATAACTTTCACACAAACCAATTAATATACACTTATTGGGATTCGTTTTCCCACAGATATGTAGCATAATGTATTTTGACCTGAATTTATGGCGAAATTTGAATTTATTGGATGTTTTATGACAGAAAGTAGAAAATATTGTTTTGGTTTATTTTTTTTTAATTCTCATTCTTTTTTCGTATGTATCGCAAAAAGATTAAAACCCCCCAGTGGTGATCAAATACCACCAAATAAAAACTTTATTTATGTGAAAAAAATGATAAAAAGTTAATTTATCATTTCATTTACAGTATTGCATGACATACAATTGCAAGTTAAAGTAGTACAGTACTGAATAGCAAAGAATTCTCTGGTCATGAAGGGGGTAACCTTCCAGAGGTCAAGTGGTTATTACTCTCACAGGATAGTGTTGATCTTTACATTTTTTTTAGAATACCTGTGCTGACAAAAATATCTGGGTTGCCATTGTCAACCTTTCCATTTGAAAATACTTAGCTGTCATACTGATCCAGTGACTTTAAATCGTTCTCCTTGATCGGGTGTTCTGGCCTCTCTATAATATCATTGGTGCATGATTGTTCTGGATAATTAACTTAATACAAACAGCAAGACAACTAACAATTTTAAAAGTAGATTAGCAATGGCAGCCCATGTAAATTTTCAGTACAGGCTTTCTTCAAAGGAAACATGTCATGAATGAAATGTAGGCTGCCACTACTGACCTCCTTATGAAAATGGTAGTGCCCTGCCTGTCATGCTGATGCTTTAGATTCAAGAACTGTCACTGATGTGATACATGCAGGTCAGGTGCTGTGCTGTCATGATGATGCTTTGGCTTCAGTCACTAAACCAGAACAAGTATTGAGATAGAATTCTGACTTTTGCCTAACTTTCATTTGCTGCTTCCTTGTTTTGGGTCAATGACCCCGATGTACTGAAGGAAGACACCAGGCAGCTAGCTTTTCAGGAGGTCAGTAGTGGAAACTCATCTATTTCTCTTTTCATAGGTGTACTTTACATCATGTAAAGATATCATATTTATTATGGCAGGAGCCAAATAAACTCTACTGAAAGGAAATCTGTTATTGATAAAACACAGGAACCACCATTGCTGACCTTTCGTAATGTAGCACCCTCCTACTTAGGCTTCTAGGATGTTAGGTAAATTTAGCCTTTTTAGCTCCCCTGTAGTCATTGGAGTAGTGGTTGATTTCTTTGGACTGTTCTGGGTTTCACAAGCTGCAGGTTTGATTGCTTTCTGTTGTCTTCCAGAAAGTTCTGGGACATAGGAGTGGAGCAAAGCAAATAGGCATCATGAATATTTATGTTGCTGCAGCCAATCTCTGGAGAGGTACTGAGCTGTAGGACAGCAGAGTCTTTCTGTCCAAGTGATTCCACCTTTTTGGGTAGTGGTGGTGGGAGTGTTTTACCCCCTACATCCAACCAGTCTGCTGTTTCAAGTGGCTGTTCATCAATATCCCAGCTGTGGTAGAGCCAGGGGGCCTACATCTGAGATGGTATCGAACATTCTGAGACTTCATCTAAGGATCCAGTCTGTATAGCTTTTACTGGAAGGTACCTGGAGGAAGGTGAGTGGACACAGCTGTTCCCCTGGCCTTGTGAGTACTGCTTTTCTGCAAGATCCTAGTGTACTGTTGAGATTGCTGGGCCTCATAGTTGTGACTGTGAACTATTGGGATTGCTAGCCTTCATAGTTCCTCTCCTAAGAAGTATATACTGACCAGTTCCTTTTAGTTTTGGCAAAAGACTTTTAGATAAGTAGTTCCTTCCCTGAGAGGTACATACAGAACATTAGTCTCCTCTAGTTTCTAGACCCTGCTAAATTGGCCCTAGTATGTGTATGTATGAATGTAAGTTAGGGACCTTAGATTGTACACCCCTTGAGGGTTGGGGACTGATGTGAATGTATAATATATAAATATGTAAAGTGCTGCGTAAATTGACAGTGCTATATAAGTACCTGAAATAAATAATTTTATATTTAATTAAAATGTAAATATATTAAATATATGTAGTTGTGAAAACTAATATTAAATACACAGCTGCTGTAATATATTACATACACCGTAACACCTTGCATACCATATATGACTATATATATTTTTTGTTTCATAACACTATTTATTTTTGCTTAATTTAACAATCATAATGACTTTATTTGATATATATTTAATTAGGCGGAATGCTTCCTTATGTGAATGCATTTGCCTTTTCAAGTCTGCTCAGTAAACAAAGGAGAGGCTGTTTTTGTCATGGTTAGGAATTGTGTATCTTGCAAGCAAAGATATTTATAGCTACAGCAGGAACAACTGTTCAACCTGTGATCCAAAGCCAGCTATGGCAACAGAAACATCACAGTCACATCAAGTATAAATATACATAAGTGTACACAGTGTTGATCAACCTTGTTAAAACATCTAAATGACAGTAAGCACGGGAGCGCCAAATGGTTTATATATTAACAACAGTGTTTACAGTACATATTATAAAACAAATATGTACATTGATTATTTGGTACAGAAATCACAACTGCATTTAGATTTATTCATTCTTTTGTAGACCTTCATTACTCTGAAAACTGAAAAAGCAGCAAAAATACTCAGATTTATACAGTATCTGGTAATAAATATACTAAGCACAGAGCAAAAATGGGTGCACATACGTTTGACTTTTATATATGATATAGAAGCTTATTAAATAAGCTGAAGCTATGTACACTTGGAATGCCCAATCAGTTTCAAGGTTAAGCTCTTGAATTTCCAGCGCTGTTTTAACATGGCACTGGGATATTGGTCATTTTGTTAGCTCCTGACCTTCTGATGCTTTCACAGGCCACTCCATAGGAGCTCGCTGTAAAAGCTAGAGTAAACACAGCCCTTCCATATTGTGTTTATGTGCAATGTGCGGCAATGCCACTGGTGACATCACTGCACTTTCCACTTTTACTAGCCTCTCCATACAGCAGCACCTCACTGCTATAAGTACCTTTCGCAGGCTGATTGCATCTAGCAATAGATTAGATGACTAATGGCAGCACTGAATTTGGGGGGGGGGGGGGGTCTGGATAAATTCTGATGGAAAAACAGTAAACTGAACAGGAAAAAATAAAAATAAAAATATATATGTATATATATACAGTATGTATATATATATATGTATACACTGTATTGCCAAAAGTATTGGGACACCCCACCAAATCATTGGATTCAGGTGTTCCAATCACTCCCATGGCCACAGGTGTATAAAATAGATTAGATGACTAATAGCAGCACTGAATTTGGGGGGGGGGGGGGGGGTCTGGATCAATTCTGATGGAAAAACAGTAAACTGAACAGGAAATAAAAAATAAATATTTATATATATATATATATATGTATATATATATATATATATACACACACTATATTGCCAAAAGTATTGGGCCAGCCCTCCACCCTCCAAATCATTGGACTCAGGTGTTTCAATCACCTCCATGGCCACAGGTGTATAAAATCAAGCATGAAGACTGCTTCTACAAAGAATGAAAGCATGGGTCACTCTCAGGAGTTCAGAGAATGCAAAGCGTGGTACCGTGATAGTCTGCCACCTGTACAGTAAGTCCATCCATGAAATTTCCTTGCTACTAAATATTCTATGGTCAACTGTTAGTAGTATTATAAAAAGTGGAAACTACTGGGAACAATAGCAACTCAGCCACGAAGTGGTAGGCTATGTAAAATGACAGAGCGGGTTCAGTGCATGCTGAAGCACACAGTGCGCAGAAGTCGCCAACTGTCTGCAGAGTCAATAGCTAAAGACCTCCAAACTTCATGTGGCCTTCTGATTAGCACAACAACAGTGCATAGAGAGCTTCATGGAATGGGTTTCCATGGCTGAGCAGCTGCATCCAAGCCTTACATCACCAAGTGCAATGCAAAGTGTCCGATGCAGTGGTGGAAAGCACGCCGCCAGTGGACTCTAGAGCAGTGGAGACGTGTTCTCTGGAGTGACAAATCATGCTTCTCGGTCTGGCAATCCGATGGACGTGTCTAGGTTTGGTGGTTACCAGGAGAACGATACTTGACTGACTGCATTGTGCCAAGTGTAAAGTTTTATTAGAGGGGGGATTATGGCGTGGGGTTGCTTTTCAGGGGTTGGGCTTGGCCCCTTAGTTCCAGTGAATGCATCAGCATACCAAGACATTTTGAACAATTTCATGCTCCCAACTTTGTGGGAGCAGTTTGGGGATGGCCCCTTCTTGTTCCAACATGACTGTACACCAGTGCACAATGCAAGGTCCATAAAGATATGGATGAGCGAGACTGGGGTGGAGGAACTTGACTGGCCTGCACAGAGTCCTGACCTCAACCCGATAGAGCAACTTTGGTATGAATTATAGTGGAGAGACTGCGAGGCAGGCTTTCTTGTCCAGCATCAGTGCCTGACTTCACAAATGTGCTTCTGCAAGAATGGTCAAACATTCCCATAGACACACTCCTAAACCTTGTGGACAGCCTTCCCAGAACAGCTGAAGCTGTTATAGCTGCAAAGGATGGTCCAAATCAATATTGAACCCTACAGACTAAGACTGGGATGCCATTAAAGTTCATGTGAGTGTGTGTAAAGGCAGGCGTCCCAAAACTTTTGGCAATATCGTGTGTGTGTATATATATATATATATATACACACACAATATAATACATACAATAAAGTACAATATATATGTAAAGCACTGCATAAATTTACAGCACTATATAGGCACCTGTAACAAATAAAAGTCAACGTCATGTTAAATTGTGCCCTAATCAACCCATCAACCCAACTTAATGTCATCTTAATATTACACTGACAATTTATCCAAAACATTTTCCCCCCCCTGCATGCGTCGCAGTGTAGTGTTGAAAACAGAGCAAAGCTCTGATATATACTGTATATTTTAATTAGCAGACTTTACTGATTACATTCTGTGGTAAATGGGGATTCACAAATTTTGTAAACCCTATGTTGGGAAAAATTACAGAATTTTTTTTTAATCTTTATATTTTTTTTCCCAATATAACCAAAGGAAATAAAAAATATATGTATCTAAATTTGCTATCAAATTAAATCTGTTCACAATAGAAGTATAAGTTTTTAAGGTAGACAATGCTAAAATGGAAAAACGCACTGGGACTCCAGGTGATTTATGTTCATTATTAGTTTTACCATTCCGCTACATTACATAAAAGTCGCACTAATGTGACATCAATATAATTTGAAAACGTTGTTGATTATATCTTGGGATAAATTTATGGGGGGGGGGTGTAAATTATGTAAATGCTGCTTTGGGGAAAATTACATGAACATGCATTTTTTTTTCTCATTTTTACTTTTTATTCTATATTGTACATAAAAACTAAGGGAATACAAATACTTGTATGCAGATGTACAAAAGCCCTATCTGTCCAGGAAACATGCAATGTATTATACAGCAGAGCAGACTGCAAAAAACTAAAATTTGCAGCCATTGACAGTCAGAATACACTCCCTTGTTTTTCACCAAGTGTTACTAGGTATCCTTGCGTATGGGAGAGGTAGCTCCAAATTGTTGGATGCAGTTTTTACTATGCCATCACTGTGCTGGATGCAGTTTGTACCAGCTTTTACTATGCCATCACTGTGTTTGAGAAACTTTTCACTTAATTTATACTTTTGTTGAAAATGTTATATTTATTTTTTTTTCTAATTTACTGCCAAGCGCATTCTAAAAAATATGGGCTTCAAAGTTCAAAGTTATACATCTTGGCAAAAACCTTGAGGGGTCTACTTTTCAAAAAAGAGTAATTTTGTGGTAGTTTTTTTTAGAGATTCTGTGTATAGCCCTACAGAACAGACAGTGCACAGTCCACATGTTTATCTGCTGCTTCTCTGCTAACAGGAAACAGGACCTATATTCAGGAAGACGACATAGGGTATAGTCATAGATACAGCTACAAATTTATAAACACTGCCATCTACTGATAATGTAGTTGCTGCACAAAATACATGAACAATGTGTTCCAACACCTCGCTCAACAATTACTCCTTATATTAGTCCTATCACATATCTTATTTCCAAAAATCTGTTTTTTGTAAGCGGTTTTGTCAAATGTTCGGATCCTTTTTGTTCCTTATGGCTTGAAAGTCTTTGCATCTCATCCCGTGAAGGTTCTGGCTCTGGATTTTAATGTTATGCAAGCAACATAGGACAGACATTTGGCTGGGATGACTTTATTGCTTCTGGTGTATTTCCTGGTTGAAGCCTGTTCTAGTCTGGACTCTTCATTTACAGTATTAGGATTGTTTGCATTCATTTCAATTTCTGCTTCACTTTGTTGCTTCTCTTCATGTGACACTGATGTGGAATTTCCCTCAGTTTGAATAATTTGTGTTAGTTCATGAAATTTGAACACACTGAAGTTTCATCGACAATTACACTTCTACTGATGGTTACCTTGTTTGTGTCTTGGTGTAGAATTCTGTATCCCTTTTAGAAGAGATTTATGAGATTCACTGTACTCCACAAATACACCTTCTATCACATTTTTTATGTTCTTCTTTTTGATATGCACACATGCTTTGCTTCAAAACATTTTTAGATGGTTCAGATTTGTGGCTTTTCCATTCTACAGTTCATATTGAGTTTTCCTGGTGGTCGATTCTGAAGATAGCATGCGGTCATAATTGCCTCCCCCCATTATCTGGTTGGCTAATCTGTATTAAACAGCATCTTCTACTCTCACATAGAAAACAGTTCATTCTTTCTGCAACCCCAATTTGTTCTCGGTTGTATGGTACAATAGTTTGAAATAATATGTCATGCTTTCTGAGAATCACCCGTGTGTTATAAACTGTATATTCAGTTCCATTGTCTGTGCACAATACACTTGTCATTTTGCCATATTCATTATCTAAAGAAAAATCAGTTTCTTCCTTCACACTTTTGGCCTTTTGCAGTTTAGTTTGTTTGTTGATTCTGCAATCTGCTTTTAAATGGCCTTGTTTCTTGAACACAAAATATTCATGTGTTTCTTGTTGCATCTTACTGTTTTTATTTCTATTTTCGTCATTAAAGCAGACACTGCGATAGAAGCATCATCACCATTAATGCTTTCTGTTTTACTCTTATATTCAACCCCAAGCTTGCTCTTAACATATTCCAATGTCAGTTCATCATCTGCACGTACATCAAGTGCTGTGACAAGCATGTAATAATTTTCTGGTAAACCACTAAGTGATAGTGCTGCGACATGAAAATCTTTTATTTCTTCTCCTATACCTCTCAGGCCTTATGTAATCCTACATATCCTGGCCTTTAATCAGCTTGGTTTAGCTTTCTAATAAAATACAGTTTATTGCTAAGATTAGCTCTTTAATGCACCTTTTGTAATCCTTCCTACATTCCTCTAGCAGTTTGCTTTGATCATCTTCTACGCTAAGAGATATTGTGCTCCAAGCTCTCTGATCATCCTCTATCCACTCTTCTGAAGGGTGTTCTGGCTTGACTTCCTTTATACATTTACAGGTATCGTCTCTTATTAGCAGCATTTTCATCTGGAATTTCCAAGACTGGCAATTCTGGTTTTTCAGGTTTGCAAATGAAAGCTGTGTTACTGGCCATTTTCTTTTATTCCATTGCAGTCTTCTTTCTGTTACTATATCTCTCACTTCTTTTGCTGTTGCTGGCTATAACTGGGTGTCTAGGCTTAAAACCTGTTAGAGATTCTGTATATAGTCCTACAGAACAGACAGTGCACAGTCTGCATGTGTTTATCTGATGCTTCTCTGCTAACAGAAAATGTATTCCTAGATTGTAAGCTCCAAGGAGCAGGGCCCTCCTTTCCCTCTTGTATTGAACTGTATTGTTGCTGTATTGTCTCCGTTATATTATAAACTGCTGAGCGAACTGTTGGCACTATATAAATCCTCTATAATAATAATAATAATAATAATATTCAGGAAGAAGACATATAGTCACAGAGGCAGCTACAAACCTATAAACACCGCCATCTAATGGGTGATGTAGTTGTTGCACAAAATACATGAACAATGTATTCCTACAGTTTTTGGGGTCCTGACACTTCTAAGTCACTGTAAATGCAGTACAGTGCCAAAAAGCTGCATGGCAGTTCTCAGCCATTGACAATTAAATTGCACTCCTTTGTTTCTGGGCCCTGCCGTATCCCCACTAAGTAATTAGGACACACATCTGTGATGTTTTCATGTATAAGAAAAGCAGTATAAAATAATAACTATATATACACAGGTGCACTTCCTTGAAATGTCATATAAATAAATAACTGTGCATAGTGACCACAATACACTGAATGTGACATTAACCACTTGCCCTCCTGAGGATTTACCCCCCTTAATGACCAGGCCTCTTTTTGCTACTCGGGCGCTGCACTAATTCAACTGATAATTGTGTGGTCATGCAATGCTGCACCCAAATGAAATGTACGTCCTTTTTTCACACAAATAGAGCTTTCTTTCGGTGGTATTTGATCACCTGTGTGCTTTTTATTTTTCACGCTATAAACAAAAAAAGACCCAAAATTTTGAAGAAAAACGATATTTTTTACTTTCAGCTATAAAAAATATATAGTAAACTCAAAGTTGATTATAAATGTAGGCCAAAATGTATTCTGCTACATGTTTTTGGTAAAAAAAATCCCAATAAGTGTATATTGATTGCTTTGTGTGAAAGTTACAGCGTCTATAAACTATGGTATAGATACTGCAATTTATGCCATTTTTTTTCTATACAGCGCTGCGCTAGTTTAATGGACAATTGTGCGGTCATGCAATACGGTAGATAAATGAAATTTACATCCTTTGAGCTTTCTTTCGGTGGTATTTGACTACCTGTGCATTTTTTATTTTTTGCGCTATAAAAAAAAAAGACTGACAATTTTGAGGAAAAAAACCAATATTTTGGACTTTTGCTATAAAACATGTCCAGTAAAAAAAAATGTAAAAATCAAATTTAGTCATAAATTTCTGCCAAAATGTATTCTGCGACATGTCTTTGCTAAACAAAAAACCCAATACGTGTAAATTAATTGGTTTACGTGAAAGGTATAGCATTTACAAATGGCGGGAAAGATACTGGGATTTTAAAGTTTTTTTTTATACTAATAATGGCGGCGATCAGCGACTTATGGCGGCGATCAGTCACTTATGGCGGCGATCAGCGACTTATGGCAGGACTGCGGGACTGCGGCGGACATCCTGACACTGGGGGGGAACTGACTTGGGGTCACTGACATCCCCAGTGACACCAATACAGTGATCAGTGCAAAAAAAAAAACACTGACACTGTACTAATGGCACTGGGGAGGAAGGGGTTAACTTTTTTATTTACTAAAAGGGTTAACTGTGTGAGGGGAGTGTTTTACTAGGGGGCGGGGGGGTGTACTGCACGGGAACACCGCTGATCCGGAGAGAAACTCTTCTCTCCGGATCAGCATGTCAGGAGCTGACAGAAAGCAGAGCTACTGCAGCCCTGCTCTTTGTAAGTGATTGCCGCTAATCGGCAGGACACGGCCGGTAATGACCGACCGTGACCCGGCGACTGACAACCCGTGGCCGCGATCGGCGGGACGGGTATGGCGGGCACACGCCCCCTACCTGTTTTGCAAACGCACGTTTTAAAAAGTGGTTTTGCCCAGCCGTGCCGACCTGCCACCGTATTTCTACAGTGGCTGGTCGGCAAGAAGTTAAACAAATGCATGTCACACAACACATTAGAAAGATGCATTCAGTAACTTCAATGCACTTAATAAATATTAAGTGCATATGTACAAAAATGTGAAGTAATAGAAGTACTCAAACTATAATATCCTATATATGTGCAAACAAATGCATGTCACACAACTCATGAAAAAAGATGAAATACAAAAAGCCCATGAGATAGACGAAAACTTTAAGATCCAGTGAGCAGGGAGTGCAAATCCAAGCTTCACACAGAGAGCAAAAAGTATTCCTCCTCCACTACACAAAGACTCTGCCTCTTACGAAAAGATGGTCATCTTTAGGTATGGAGATAAAAAAAGCACTTGATGTGTGTATGCCTTTAAAAGCCTCCGGGCCTGCGGCCAATGCGATCTTCTGCTGTTCCAACCAACCAGACACTCAGGGGTTAATGGATCACGGAACCATGCATATATCCTCAAAGGAAGCCAAATGAGCCTTCACAGCATAAAACTGCCACCATGGTTTATTTCAGTAAAACACAGGCAAACACTTACAGGATGAGGAGTACACAGCAGCATAAATGCCGCCACACTATTCAAGCTTAGGAAACGCATCATGCTCCATTTTCCTTGAGAACAGTCGCTGACAGCGAAACAAGTCGGTTGGGGCCTAGCCAGTGAAGTTATCATTTCATGCATATTTTTTAACACATTGTGTGACATGCGTTTGTTTGCACATATATATACAGTATAGGATATTATGGTTTGAGTATTTTAGTTGCTTCACATTTTTGCATTTATTCATTTAAAATTCATTCACATTCAGTGTATTGTGGTCACTATGCACAGTTATTTATTTATATGACATTTCCAACTGTCAGAGTGCAGCATCCAGGAGTTCATTCAGCGTAAAAATACTTTTATGGTTAATAGCAGTATAAAGTACTTTTTAGCCTCTTTACCTATATATGTAAGAAACAAACAAAAAAAAAACCAACTAGAGTCAACAATTTTCAATTGTTGTTTCAATTTTATTTTCAGTTTATTTTTTAGTTCATTTCAAGTAGCCTTGATATAAAACAGTTTTACAACATTTACAATCTAACACATCCCACTGCTCTGTGTTTTTTTTTTTGTCAAAGTTGCAATACAGGGCCTTTGTTGTCATGTTATTGTGTGAGAAACAAATCTTAATGAATAGAATAGAATAAATGCACACCATTGTTTTTACACCATATTTCCCCCATAAAGTGAAAAACCAGGCAAATGCGGTGTCACATGATTTAAAGGATAAGTTCACCTTTCCACATTTTTTTGCAGGAGTCTGTAAGGCATTGCTCCAGCGATCAGCAGATCTCTGATAGCATGTAGGTCTCCTGCAGACTGTCAGTGTATCTGCTTGTTCGTACATCACGTATGGGCAAGCCAATACTTTTGACAGGAAGACTCAATGAACTATCATGGCGCTCACAGCACTGTGGTAGTTCATTAAGACTTACGGGACTTGTAGTTCATTCATTCATAGAACACTGTGACTAAATGACGTGGCCACGTGGGCGGAGCCCCACACGGCCATGCTGTTTTTGAAAACTGACCGCAAGTACGAGGAGCTTCTCCCCATACTTCTGTCACGGGGGGAGGAGGGGGTTAGCGGGCTGCGGCTGCAGGATGGGGAACTTGTTACATGTTCCACCCTAAAACCGGGTAGAACATGTAACATGTTCCCAAAGGTGAACTTATCCTTTAAACAAATTGAAAAATTAGAAAAAAAAAACTCACTGTGTCTTGTCTTTTACATATTTATGTGGTAGAAATCAACAGAAATTTGTTTTTGATTTCAGAATTTTCACAATTTTGTCTCTCTTAAAAAAAAGTACTGTCTCCAAAAAACATGATCAAGATTGGCTGGATTGACTGCAAAACAAAGCAGCAATTATATCTATCCCATCCGAAACCTGAAAAAAGCACTGCGACTCAAACGGTTAAAAAAAAGGGTAATAGGAAGATTGATGTTTCAGAAAATTATTAGCTACCATTTCACTGACTTTATTTTTTTTGACAAGGAATCAATAGAAGCTAATTTAAAGAGGCAATTATTTGCTTAATTTGAAACTACTCTAAATAAAGTGGAGCTCCAGTCAAACCTACAAATAATAAAAGTCAGCAGCTACAAAAACTGTAGCTGCTGACTTTTAAAAAACAGCCACTTACCTGTCCCACGATCCTGTGGTGTCCTCACTGCAGCCCTTTTCACTGGTCATCCTCGCTCCCCGGCCCCGGCATCCTAAGTGTGGGCTCCCGGCTGTGATAGCTTGTGGCTTCACAGCCGGGTACCCACTGTTCATGTGGGAGTAGCTCTGCTCCTTGTGAATGCTCCTGTAGTCTTCTGGGACCTGTCACGTGTTAGGGTGTCAAAATCAGGTACCCCGCTCCCCCCCCCGCTCTACAAAGGTGCCAATTCCTCACAGGGATCGGGGGACAGTAGTTAAAGTGGAACTTCCCCTTTTGGGTGAAGCTCCACTTTAAGGTTTTATATTTTTTCAACAATATGCAGATGCAAAAGGTTGCACTTCTACTGTTTTTTTACTTGGTATTCAAAAAGCACAAATAGTGCAAACCCACAAAGCCAGAAAGTTTCACATCACTGACCACCAGACTTTCAGTAGCACAGAAGGAACTGTGGGTATCCCTTTTTTTCAACAGAAGCCAATCGTTAGACGGCTTATGTCGAACGGTCCTGTTAGAGCACCAAAAATTCTATCAGCCACTGCAACCAATGATTGCAACACTAATAGATGTATTTTGAAGGATTTAGTCATGAAAGTGGTGTACTGGAGCTGGATAGGGGTTATTTACAAGGGAAGGACAAAACAATGGAAACACTACATGATTTGTAGCTGTGAAAGTGACGTTATGTTTCATTTTGAAAGCGGAAGTGATGTAACATTCTTTTGCTTCCGCTGTGTGATGAGACACCTAGCTAACAGGTGGGAAGCCTCACTTTTGTTTCACTGTGTGCACTGCTAGTAATACGGAGTCATGCCAGAGTTTACTGAGCTTCAAAGAGTTCCCTCTTTTGAATTGCTGGTGCACACATAGCTGGTGCCTCGGTGACTGAAATTGCCAATTTATTTGCCATGTTGTGAGATACCATATCAAAGGCAATGACAGCATATACAGTTTCCAGGAAAACATTGCCTAACAAGCATAGGTGTGGTCGACATGGTCAAATGACAGAAAGAGACAAAAGGACATTGTGCAGGATTGTGACCCGGAATAAGAAAACAACTGCTGCAACAGTGACTGCAGAGCTCAATCTTAGTCTTCACGGGACCTATCCTTTTCATTGTTAGAACTTCCATTCTCTATCTCTGGATGGAACTAGGGGGGAACTAAAACTCAATTTTTTTTCATGTATTAATTTTAATCTTCTTTTAACTTCCCTAGCGGTATGATTATTTCATATTTTTGGTGCTGAAAGCGGTACAATTATTTTGCATGGAAATATGTAGTTTTTTTATTGTAGGCTGTAATTTTTAGGAATAACTCACTGAAATCTGTCTGAACAAGAGTCTAAATCATACATTTAATTCAATAATATAATCAAACCAAAAACACTGAAATTTGAAATATAGCGCCAAGTTCGCACATCGCTGAGCAAAGTCACAGAATCGTTTTCAGTGTTTGATGACGAATTTCTCCACGAATCATTATCACTCAATTCTGCAAGTAGTTCTGATTTACTATCGCTGTTCTCTAGCTGATCTAAACCCGCTTTTGACCTAAAGGGACATTTTTTGGACGCCATGGACTTTTCTAAGTTTCCAGGCAGAAAGAACAGTCAAAATGCAGGCAGGGCACAGGACAAAGCACTCGGGACAAAATGTATGTGAAATGGGTTGAAACAGCAATGTGTTACCATGTAAAATCGTTTTGAAAAAAATAAAATTTTTTTAAAATTTTCAAATTTCCCGCCGCCGGACGCGGCGCCCGTACGTCCCGATGTCACAGGGACTGGAACACAGGAGCCGGATGCCGGCATCGGCCGGAGGAGATGGCCGGGGACGTCGCAGGGGACACATCGCGGGAGCGAAGGACAAGGTAAGTGCTGCAGGGACTCCCTATACAGCGCTGCATGGTAAGCCCGAGTGTAGCTCGGGGTTACCGCTTTTGGTACAGACATTTTACCCGAGCTACACTCGGGAATACCGTTAGGGAGGTTAATATAACTACAGCACAAATACATAGTATTTTATAATATATCCCATTCAAAATAACACAAAATAATGTTTCTTGTACAAAACACACAAGTTATTTGCAAATAAAAAGACATTTTGTCAATTTTGTTCCTTTTTTGCTACAATAAAACTAAAAAAAACTAAACAGAAAAATAACACCTAAGAGAAGGAAATTGGTGTAGCTTATGGATATTACAAAAAATATATATTTTTATTACTTGTAAGGCTTCTTTAACTGATATCATGTCACACCTTTGGTCTACATATGAATGAAATAGTAAATATAGTGTAACAATACATTGTTAACAATGTATTATTCAGTGACACTTGTGGACCATCTGCAAGTGTAATTTTACACAGGAGCAACTGCATTTTGACAACTCCCAGCTGTGATTTCTACAATCAGTAATTGCCGGCAAAAGCAATGTGGCAGTGTAGAGGAGCTGAATGTAAGAGATACATGCTATAAATGTTTATGAAGTTTTTTAGGACATATCACCTACATTTAAAATCCTCAAGTAGGTAAATGCTTCTTTGCACTTCTTTGCAGGTAAATGCTTTGTTCAGACAAAGTCCAAAAACACTGGTTTGCCACATTTTACCATGTTTTGCAGCGTTTTAGCTCGTTTTTCAGCGTTAGAGCGTTTTTACAGCTAAAAAATCTCTCCTCTAGAAACCCACTAGTTCTCATGTTTTTTTCCAACCAAAAAACGCTCCTTCCAAAACCCTTCCAACACTGATTGCAGCCTATGTGTGCATGGACACATAGGATAACACGCTGAGCAGTTTACTGGCTGTAGAAAAAAAGGTCAAAAGCCAAAAACAGCCGCTGTAAAAACATCCAGTGTGCATGAGGACTTATTGTGCTAAGTGATTGCAGATCTCAGGTGTTAAATACTGGTCTTACATCAGGGTTTGTAAAAGACAAAATAAAGTGCACCATAGACCCAACAGCATAGTTATGAAGGCATGATCCAACCACCCTCTGACACTGGTGTAAGTAGAGTATTCATGGAGCACGTTTGGTATTGCTGGCAATCCTGTCCATGATGCAGTGGGGAGGGAGAGGAATTCAGTAGTGCTGTCATTAGTACTGTCATTATTGCTTATCCCAAGGAGGAAAAATATCATAGAAATAAGTTATCTAAAATACTTTAATAAATATCCATCTAGACACAGGCTAGTGGGGTCAGCGTCCTTCGCAGATGCAAGATTGTCACCTGATCAGGTTACGGTCACCTCGTATCTGTCTATGAGGAAGTATTTTGAAGGTTGTTAGACTTTGGTGTGTGAAAATCCTATGGTCTCCAGAGTGCTTATGAATCCTTATGGAGTCACTACATGAGTGTGCTTGATAACTGACTGTAGCAAACGCGAAAGTCCAAAACACGTTAGAAAGGCTGGATGGATTCAGCGTTAATCCAGTGTTGCTTATTTATTACATAACAAATATGCAAACCTTTTGGGGACCATGGACCCCCTTTATTAGGCTGCTGTAGAAGAGGAGCTAAAGATGTACTGATTTCAACCACTTGCCCTCTAGCGGATTTACCCCCCTTCCTGACCAGGCCATTTTTTGCAATATGGTACTGCATTCCTTTAACTGACAATTGCACGGTCATGCAACACAACGCTGCACCCAAATTAAATGTATGTCCTTTTTTCCCCACTAATAGAGCTTTCTTTTGTGCGGTTTTTATTTTTTGTGCTGTTAACAAAAAAAGACTGACAATTTTGAAAAAAAAAAAAAACAATATTTTTAACTTTTTTTGCTATAAAACATATCCAGTATAAATCAAATTACGGCATAAATTTAGGCCAAAATGTATTCTGGTACATGTCTTTGCTTAATAAATTCCAATACACGTAAATTAATTGGTTTACATGAAAGTTATAGCGTCTACAAATGGCGGTATATAAACTGAAATTTTTATTTTTATTTTTTTTTTATATTAGTAATGTAGGCGACCAGCGACTTATATCGGGACTGCGGCGAGCATTCTGACACTGGGTGGGAACTGACTAACTGCCACTGACATCTCAATGACACTAATACAGTGACCAGTGCTAATAAAAAGCACTGACACTGTCCTAATGATGCTGAGCAGGAAGGGGTTAGCATCTGGGGTGATCAAAGGGTTAACTGTGTGCTGTATTGTGTTTTACAACAGGTGCTGTGTGTTGTTTTACTTGGGAAACATGCTGCTGTGTATTTTTCTACTGTGCAGAGAATTACACAGCAGCCTGTTATTGCTGGCAGGAGAGAGACCTGTGTTGTTTACACACAGGTCTCTCCCCTGTCAGTGTTACTCAGTGATCGCCGGGTGCCAGTAGAGAATCTCCGATTGGGACCCGATGAGTGACATCCGTAGCTGCCAATGGTGGCAGGGGTAGGGCGGCACGCTCGCCTCCTAATTGGTAATGCAAATCATGTATATAGGGCTACGGGCGGCGGATAACTGGTTAAATGTTGAAACAATGGTAAATGGTGGATCCTTAGGAGACACCTTGCATGTTGAAAAAGCAATATGCTTGGCTGGTGTAAATAATGAAAAGTTATGCCATGCCAGTTAGACAAAACATGTTCTGTCTTCAACAGGCAAACTATATCTTAATGTACCACCACTCACCATTGTTCTGGCTCTTCACATCAGGTATTTTTTCCTCTTCTTTTCAGAACAGCGTTGGAGGGGATGCATTACCCCAACACTTGCTTTTGGATTATTGATATCCTAAAAAAACTGGATGAATGTCATACAGTATATATATATATATATATATATATATATCTACAATTTATATATTTTTATCATTTTAAATAATAAAACTTTTTTAATATATTTTTTAGTATTTTTATACAACTGTATTGTCATTATTTTTATATTTATATATTGCCAATAAAGAGTTAATTTTATTAGATTATAATACACTACCTTTAGGGATTTGTATTCCAAATTGACGTTTAAAAGCCAAGATCGTCATTATCACTACACAGGAAGCAATAGATTAATATCCCTGGCTGTAGTAATCTGCAGTAGAGAGTTTCTGCAGTAAAAAATATAAAACATCAGTATATACTAGCGATAGTAAGCTTTGCTAATTGGGAAACACAGCAGTGGCTATATGACAGTATAATACAATGGACTGGGACTACAACAAAATGGCCACGATACCTATGTCCTCAATAATCGGAACTACAGAAAAATGGCAGCAGCGGCTCTACACTGTAGACCAGGGGTCCTCAAACTACGGCCCGTGGGCCACATGCGGCCCACCGAGGACATTTATCTGGCCCGCCGGGCAGGGGCGTATCTGCCGCGAGGCAAGGGACTAGGGTTTGGCAGGTCGGGAGAGCTCGGCAGAGCTTGGGCGGGAGGCAGGAGGGCGGGATCAGCAATTCTAGAACAATGTTGGTGGGCTCGGCTTATAAACCCGCACCACGCACCTGGCCTCTCTGCAGCCAGCCGGCCATCTATTCTGATCAGTGCAGGCAACCATCACGGCCGGAGGGCGGAGCCTAGAGCTGACCATGAAGAGGGGGAGCAAGAGAAGAGACTCCATCACTGCATGTCCAGTATCATGGCCACGGACCCTAGATAAGTGCAATAGATGATCGATCTCCTCCCTCTCTTTTTTCCCCCTCTCTCCTCTCTCTCCTCTCCTCTCTCCCCCCCTCCTCTCTCTCTCTCTCTCCCCCCCCCTCCTCTCTCTCTCTCTCTCTCCCCCCCTCCTCTCTCTCTCTCTCTCTCTCTCCTCTCTCCCCCCTCCCCTCTCTCTCTCTCTCTCTCCCCCCCCTTATCTCCCTCTTTAGATTGTACACAGATCAGACCCAACAAGGTGTCCTGCATTTACCGTATATTTTGCTCCATAAGACGTTTTATGTCTGTGCGTCTTATGGAGCGGCCGGCCCAGTATTCCCGCCGCAGTTGTATGTCCGCAGTCTTTGGTCATCTCATGTGCTATGTCCGCAGTCTCTGGTCATCTCCTGTACTGTGTCCACATTTGTTCATAGTTTTTTTTTTTTTTTAAACTATAATCCGGCCCTCCAACAGTCTTAGGGACAGTGAACTGGCCCCCTGCTTAAAAAGTTTGAGGACCCCTGCTGTAGACTAACCAATTAACATCAGGATCCCCCTATAAATACCAGTCAGGAACACCATGACGCCATCCTGAGGAAGCCACGGGGGCGTGGCATAACGCGTAGATGCAGCGTGGTGATGCACTTCCAGTGAGCGCCATCTTAGTACACCAGAGTGCATCCAGTACACCCATGTATGGTGGTGTGAAAAGCCTGTTAACATCTGCCTAAATGTGAGTTGAAACTTGGTGTTTTTTACCTTATTTAAATAAATATACAGTGTTGCACTATGGAGGATCTTTGTTTTATCATTGTATGATTCCAACATCATGTGCATATATGGGCATATACACTGCTACCTGTGTATGGAGGAGTAGCTGAGATTGAAGGAAAGACCATTGGGGGCTGTGGAACATACCTTACCTGGAGATTGCGTGCAGGATCCTGGGTGATCCAAAAGGCTTTTTGACCCCTGTGGGTTGCAGGGGGAAGGTGAGCGGGCATGCCTGCCATTTAGGATTATCACTTACCACTTGCACCAACACAGGAGCACGCTTGGAAAAACTATTATTGTGTGTTTTCTTTCCACTTATGATTATGTTGGCTCATTATAGACATGGCAAATATAAATAACTGCTATAGGTCTTTATACTGATCACTCATATGTGGAAGCATATGTCCCTATATAGGGAATCACTGTGTTTAATTTTTTCACTTATTGAATGGGCTGATCCCCTGGAGGGGGATAGGTATCAGGGGCGGACTGACCATTTGGAAACTCGGGCACTGCCTGAGGGCCCGGGGTCAGTAGGGGGCCACATGAGATGCCCCTCGTACCTTTTTCATAGGCTTTTTTGAGTTTGGGCA